GATTACACATTTTTTTTTTTTTTTTTTTTTTTTTGGGGGGGGGGGGGGGGGTGATGCTGGGGTTGGAGTTTGGACATCTTATGGATATCAACTCATCTATTGTGTTTCACTGGGCTTTTTGATACCTTGAAGTGTAGTAGGGAGAAATTTCCAGTATTGGTCATATTATCTTCCAAGGCACTTGGAAAATGGGAGTAGCGCGATCGTGGAAGCATAGCCTCTGGTGGGAACTTGTTACATGAGCCATTAGCTAGTGATCTCAGTTATTAAGCAAAGAAAACCAAAATTTAATGCAATGGCCTACCAAGTTTAGCTCTTAACTAAAAGGAAAACTCCAATAGCCTATTAATTCTAATCCTAGACTTATTAGGAAAGTCTGTTTAACTTTTAAAGTTAATAAAATTCTTTTTGGACTCTTGTTAAATATTATCAGATGTTAGTGGAGCTTTCTAGCAAATTAAACCAACTAAACAATCAATAAATAGATTAAACTATTAAATAGCTTTAGGTTTTGGTAGCTTCAGTGTTAGTTCATTCACATGTATGAATAGGACGTGTCTTTTATGTCTGGAAGATGGGAAAGTGGGAAAGATATGAAGCCCAACGGGTACTTTGGGTTGGGAAGCTTGGGCATCATGATTTATGAAATTACCTGGATGCAAGGATGGAAGGGTTGAGATTAGATCGGTTGAAGAAGATGAAGGGTTAATATTTAATAAGAGTCAAAAAAAAAAATATTAACTTGAAAAAATTTAAATTCAAATAGGTTAAATAGACCTACCTAATAGAAGTAGGATTAATAAGTGATTGAAATTTCCTTTTTAGTTTTTTTTTAAAGGTAAATTTCTTTCTTAGTTATGATCCAAACTATGTAAGTCTTTGCATTTAATTTTGTGCTTCTTTGATTAGTAACCGTTAGAACATGATCTGACGGTTCTGCGTAAAAAGTCTCCACCAAAAGCTTCGGTCCAATGCTTTTGTGATTGCGCTGCTCTGGAAAATGAACTGATTCTACATTTGAGTGTTGCTGCAGCAGTCATTTAAAATGGTTCTATGCTTGAAGTGTTTGTTTCTCATTGACAGTTTTCACATTTGTTCCATCTGGTCTTCATGTTATTATTTTTTCAATTAAAGTGAAATGCGCTAATATTGCTAATTTTTGCTGTTGGTGACACTAAAGGCTGTCGAGGTGACCAACGAAGTTAATTCATGGGCTGAAAAAGAAACCAGTGGCCTTATCAAAGAAATTCTTCCCTCGGGTGCCGTTGACAGCTCAACCAGGCTCATCTTTGCAAATGCACTCTATTTCAAAGGAGCCTGGACTCAGAAGTTTGATGCATCACGTACAACAGACCATGAGTTTCACCTTCCCAATGGGAGTTCAGTTCAAGTACCCTTCATGACAAGCAAGAAGAAGCAATATGTTAGTGCCTTTGATGGGTTCAAGGTCATGGGGCTTTCTTATAAACAAGGTGAGGATAAGCGGCATTTCACCATGTACTTTTTTCTCCCAGATGCAAATGATGGACTGCCAGCTTTGGTTGAGAAGATCAGTTCCGAATCTGGATTCATAGATCGTCACCTCCCATTCAAACAAGTAGAAGTGGGCTCCTTCCTGGTCCCAAAATTTAAGATTTCTTTTGGATTTGAAGCTTCTGAAGTTCTGAAGGAAATGGGTCTAGTGTTACCGTTCTCTGGTGATGGTCTCACCGAGATGGTGGATTCTGCAGTGGGTCGGAACTTGTATGTTTCAAGCATTTTCCACAAGTCATTCATTGAAGTTAATGAGGAAGGCACAGAAGCTGCAGCTGCTTCTGCGGCTTTAATACAGCTGAGATCTTTGATGGTTACTGAAAGTATAGACTTCGTAGCTGATCACCCATTCCTCTTCCTCATCAGAGAAGACATGACCGGAGTGGTGCCGTTTGTTGGGCATGTGCGTAATCCACTTGCAGGTTGATTAAACCCTGCTGGACTAGAATAAAATGAGTATGTAGATGATCTTCTGGTTGTAGCATCTGATCTTCCTTCGATGTTAGTTCTGGTTGTTACATTGTTTTCATTTTTCGTTTGTTACTTTGTGGCTTTCATGTGTTGTATCGTCTTTATAATTTTGTATTCTATCAACAATTTACACAATTTTATCACTTTCTACCTATGATTCGTAGAGGGAGGTAAATTAAGTTCAAATAGTATTATTGTATGTATTTAGGACGGTTAATCAACATATAGGATATAGCACGCACAGGATCAATAAAAAATCAAGCTCAATTTAGAAACTCTTGGTCAGAATAACATTTGTGGTTTGTAAGATTAATATTCTCGCATCAACTTTTAGATCAGAATTCGATATTGACGTCAGACACTAAAAATTTGCTTAGTTTGCATCTTGAAAATTAATATCTAAAAGTTATTTTTAAGAAGAGTTTTAAAAAAAATATATTTTGATATTTTTTGTGTTGCATAATTTGTTTAATTATATGAGTTTAAAAATAATTTTACGAAATAAGAAATAATAAAACTTGCTTGAACAATAACATAAAAAATAATAAAAATATAAACAAGAACACAATTTTTAAAATGCAAATCAAACATGCCTAAATTTCTTGTTGGATCATAATTACCAATTAAGTCGGGTTGTTTTTAAGCTTTTGCTTTATTTATAGTCAGAAATCAGAATCACGTGTAATAATTACTAAAATTGGAGGGTAGTAATTAAACAATAATAACTGGGTACAGCCTAGTCTAGTTGTCCCCACGCACTATACGACGATCACGTGACTGGCTCGAACATTTAAATCAGTAAATATCAGCTATCCTATAATCCGTTTGACAGAAAGGATGAAAAATAAAAAAATATATTTTTAATTTATAAGAATAAAAAATAAAAATAATATATATATATATATATTTTTTTTTTTGATTTAGCACCGTCTTAACTGCGAAATTACAAACTAATACCCAGACATGACATATTTTGTAAGGTAGTAGTAGGGATTAGTCACAATTGAACTTGACATCACTACATTGGATGACATCAAGCTTTTTGGCTTTTGTTAATTTGTTTGTTTGTGCTTTTTATATTCGTTTTACATCCGTTTAGTTCAAGGATCAAGATTGATTTAACCGGTTGTTATTCAATTCATTTAACCTAAAATTGGATTAGACTAATCAACTATAAATTTCATAATCTTGAGATCAATTTTCACTAATATCTTTTTAAGTTTAACAAATACCCATTACTAGCAGATATTCAAGACAGATTTAATGAGATTCTAATTTAGAGAAAGTTTCATGTTGTAAGAAAAAAAATAATTATGAATCCTTGCTATTATGATTATACACCCCGTTAATTAGATTTCATTATTTTTTAAGGTAAAAGATCCTAATAAACTAAAAAGGTAAATTACATCTGTTTCTCTTAAGATTTGATTAAATAATAGTTAAACCTTTGAATTTATGAGAAACAACATTAACCACTTTTGTCAGTAATTTCTTTCTTCTTTTCCTAGCCACCGTAGTAAAAAGACGATTATTCATGGTCAAATTAATTAATTTTTTTGAGATTAACCTATTTGTTTATAATATTTTCAAATTAGTATGGTGGTACTTTTAAAAATTATCCCCCCACCATCACACTATCGATTCAAGGTCATCATGAACCAGGGTATGATCGTTATATGGCTAAGTTTTGGGGGTTTTTTTGAAATTACACATTAGCGTTGGTGGAGAAACCGCCACGCGGACCGGCCCATGCGTTGCGTTTCTCGAAACGGACAACCTTTACGTAATCCAATCCCACCCCCCCCTGTCTCTTCCATCTCTCTCTTCCACTCTTGTCTCTGAAGCAACATTACTCTTTCCCCCTGACACTCATTATGTCAGACATCGCAAGTGTTTTAATTTAATGTTTGTGAACATACCATAATGATCTGATCTGGATATTTATTCAGAACTTTCTCGGGAGATCACCAGTGATTTCTCTGATAGAAAACCAAAGAAAGCAAGAACCCATTAAAGCCTTACTGTATTTGTTTTGATTTCTTTCTCCTGTCGTTGATTCTTTGGGAGCAATAGTAAGAAAGAGCCTCCCATAGTTTCAGTTTTCAGCAAAAGAGAGGTGGAAAGAGAGAGAATAATGGTAGAAACGGCGAACCACAACCACCAGCCACCACCATCCCAGATAAGTCAGCGACCCCCGCTACCACTTGGAGCGGCCAGAGGCCCCCTCTTTCCTCCTGCTGAACAATTCCACCAGCTTCAGTTCTGCATCCACTCCAACCCTTCATGGCGTCAGTTATCTCTCATCGTTTTCTCAATATTCTTTGTTCCTTTTTTTATTAGCTTGGCCTTTTGAGTTGGATTGAACTTCGAATAAAAAAAAAAATTGTGCTAAAGCCTGTGCTACAATAATAAATTGTTCTACACCGAAAAGATGTGTTCTTTACATTGCGGAAAAATATGGTTTGTTCTTTCTGTGATCTGTTTCTGGCACATTCATGTCTCTGTGATAGGTTTGGGAGGATTCTTTGCAATTTTTATGTTACTTTTTGTATTAAGAGAACCTTTTTGTGGGATCTTCCGAGTTCCATCCTCTCTCTCTCTCTCTCTTGGGAAATCAAATTGTTAGAATCTTGATTTTAGTTTTTTTTGCCTAGTTTTTAGCTAAGTTTAGCAGCTCAAGGGTTTTTGTAAGGCTAGAAATCGCAACGGGATTTCTGCCCTCCACTCGAAAGATTTCGGCTGACCTGCGCGCGTTCGGCAGTAGCCTTTATCTCTCACCGCAGGAGCTTCGTTCCACACAAGAGTTTCGTCCCACAGACTCCAGTCGTCTCCCCCACCCTTATAAGCCTGAGCCCCTTTAGTGGGTACCCATCCCTAAAGGGGCAGACGACTCTTAGTCGATGTGGGACGAACGAAGGACGAACGAAGCTCTTGCGGGCACTGAGAGGTAAAGGCTACTGTCAAACGCGTGCAGGTCAGGCGAAATTCTTCGAGTACAAAAAGGTCAAGCGAAATCCTTCGAGTGGAGGGCTGAAATCCCGTAGCGATTTCTACCCCTTACAAAAAGGTCAGCCGAAATCCTTCGAGTGGAGGGCTGAAATCCCGTAACGATTTTTACCCCTTACAAGGCGTATGCCAAAACGACCATCCAGTAGCCTTTACCTCTCAGTGTCCGTGCAGAGCTCCATCCCACATCGACTGAGAGTCGTCTCGCCCACCCCCTTATAAGCCTGAGCCCCTTAGGGATGGGGGAGACGGGGGAGACGACTCTCAGTCGATGTGGGACGGAGCTCTGCACGAGCACTGAGAGGTAAAGGCTACTGAGTGGTCGCTTTGGCACACGCCAGGTCAGCCGAAATCCTTGAGTTGTGCAAGAATTTGTACCAACAGTTTTAATTCCTTAACCATTCTATCTTACATTCTTTCTTCACCCATAAATGTTGTATGTGTATACGAATGTATATATAAGTCTGAATCCATCTGTATGAGTGTATGTTGGAGTATAGGTATGCATTAAGGATGATATATTTGAAGTCTTGAATGTAATTTTTTAATTCAAGAGATAACTTGTGTTTCATCCAATTTGGATTTGTAAATTTTTGGGGGTAGTATCTCTATCAGCTAAACAATTATTGTGATTTACATTGTACAGCCCAAGCTATTATACTGGCTTTCCAACACTTCATTGTTATGCTTGGGACTACAGTTATGATTGCCACCATGCTTGTGCCTCGGATGGGTGGGAATCCAGTAAGTCCTGTGTCTGATTAAATTCAGTTTAGGGGAGAAATTGGTGCAGTTTTATCTCAGTTTTCTATATTCAAATTGTCTCATGATTAGGGTGATAAAGCCCGCGTCATTCAGTGTTTGCTCTTTACGTCCGGAGTGAATACCCTGCTTCAAGCATTGCTTGGAACAAGACTTCCCACAGTGATGGGTCCATCATTTGCTTATATGATATCGGTATTATCGACCATCAATGATTTCTCCAATGGTAACTTCGCAACTGAGCATGAGGTATGCAAGGTCATTGTTAGAGATTAGTTATCATGAATCGATGAAAACTTTAATCATACTTGGTTATGTTTGTTTATGGCAATGCATAAACATTATCACAGCGTTGTCTTTTTAATTTTTTTTTTGTTGTGGTGTAGAGCCATAGAATTTTTGGAGCCTATCTGATATGAATGATGGTTTAAATAAACTAGAAAGGAATCTTACAAACAATGCTATTTGTCACACATTTGTCTCCATTTTGTAGCTATTGTACTTCTCAAAGTATTTCATGGAGGACATCTTATTTTTTAATTTCAGAAAACACCTATCTCTACCATACTTGAATCCAATTCAATTCATTTTTGTCGGTTGTTTATAAATATGTTATGGAATTTTCTTCTTCCCATCAACATTGACTTCTCTCTCTCTCTCTCTCTCTCTCGGATTGTTAGTATGCCTCTATTCCTCAACTCCATTTTGCGAAGCCTTATAATCCCATTATGCTTGTGTTCCACTACAAGATTACTGCCATCACCGGGGTCATATCACCTTTTAAACTAAAGGGCCATCCCTTGTGTTGTAGCACCTTCAATTTCAGTCCTGTTCCCTTAGACCTGTCACATGTGGCCAAAGCAGCTAATGTGGGGGGCCCCTGATCATTTTCTTTGTGAACTACATTCTTTCCACTTATGTTACACTTGCTAATGACTTTATTCAGGTCCTTTGTTTTATAATTGGTTTTTTGCAGTTTTTTCATAAACATTCAAGATACAATTTTCACCCTTCTGATGCCTCTGATATGCATGCCTGTAGCGATTCGTCCACACTATGAGAGCCATTCAAGGATCCCTTATTGTGTCTTCCTTTATCAATATCTTCATTGGATTCAGTAGGGCATGGGGACATTTTACCAGGTAACAGATGTGATCTTCAATACAAGTATATAAACTACTCATTTTTGTAGACTTAAAGTGCTATCTACCTAGGAGATTTATGTCCTCTTTATTGTGCTTTTTCTTGCAGGCTCTTCAGTCCTCTTGTTATTGTGCCAGTGGTCTGTCTGGTCGGACTTGGTTTGTTTGGGAGGGGCTTCCCGCAGGTATTGCTTCCAATCATGAACATTTTAGGCCCATGACATTGGAAATTTAGTAATCAAAAAGCATTATATGGCTGTCATGTATTCTTTACAGCTTGGCAATTGTGTGGAGATTGGCTTGCCCATGCTAATTTTATTGGTCATAGGCCAACAGGTGATGCACATTTTCATTGAAGTCATATTTATTCAGACTCTTTTGTGGCTCTACGAAATTTAAAATATTTTTTTTTACTCCAGTATCTGAAGCGCATCCACCCAAACCCAATTGCCCATTCCATAGTTGAGAGGTTTGGGTTGCTTGTTTGCATTGGTATTGTCTGGGCTTTTGCTGCTATCCTTACTGAAGCTGGTGCTTATAACAACGTTCGTGACCAAACTCAACGTAGTTGTCGTACAGATCGTGCCTACCTTGTGTCATCTGCTCCATGGTACTCTCCAGATTGTAGGATTCGCTTCCTGATTTACATTCTTCCTCTCTAAGCAAACTGGCATTTTCCTTGACATGTTACTTTGATGTTGCTTCAACATAGGATCAAGATCCCATACCCTTTTCAGTGGGGTGGTCCCATATTCAGAGCAAGTCATCTCTTTGGAACGATGGGGGCTGCTCTTGTTTCATCAGCAGAGGTATAGTTGCTTCCCCATTTTGATTTAGTATACAATGATTCCATTTCAAGCCAACTCAACATTTGTGCTTATTTTAATCTTATGGACATAATTAAGAATTTAAATTTTAAACTTTAAGTGGTTTAGAAACTCTGAAATTTGAAAATCTGGTTCACCTTTTTTGGCTCCTCCCTAAGTGGTGCAGAATGAATGTAATGTGATGTTTTCTGTTATATTAATATTATAAATTCATAATGCAGTCTACTGGGGCATTTTATGCTGCAGCACGGCTTGCGGGGGCTACACCTCCTCCAGCACATGTGCTTAGCAGAAGCATTGGGCTGCAGGTTAATATACCGACTAAGAAGTTTTATTGTTTTATCTTATCTCCTTCAACTTTTGCTTCAGTTGCACGTTGAGAGAGAAAATTTGGTTTGTCACCTTTGTGATTGCAGGGTATTGGCCAGCTGTTTGATGGGATATTCGGAGCTCTTGTAGGCACTACTGCTTCCGTGTATGAAATTGATGCTTCTATATTTTAATTGGCATTCTGCTTTCTATATCTGTGCTCATTTTCAACTCTCATATATTTTATGTGGGGGTATGCTTGAGAGTGGCAAAAACACATCCAGCTGGTTTTTGCATTGGCTAGAGTTTTTTTTTTTTTTTGCAAATTTGATTAGTCTATCAAGAGTTCCATTTTTTGGTTGTTTTTGTTGATCTTACTTATATACAATCTTGTATACTCCATGGGTATTTGAATTGCATTTCGTTGGTGGTTTTTTTGTGATCTATTGTCTACCAAGTGAGAAAAGCAAAAAATAAGAGAAAATAAAACACTCTATGCAGTGCATCCAAATTCAGCATGGGATGCCAGAACTTATAAAGCATGCCCTCTCTTCCTGTTTTGGTCTGGTATCTGATCGGATTAGGATTAAATCAAAGATTCCTCCCTCCCCACAATTGATAGCTTGTCATCTAGACACTGAAATAGGAAAAGGGGAAGTTTTAGAGACTGTTTCAAGTATCACCATTGACAAAGAGCACAGAGAACATAAATTTTTTTCACACTGCTCTTTCCTGATATATCATAATGGTAATGCAGGGAAAATGTTGGTCTTCTTGGACTAACTCATATAGGCAGCAGAAGAGTTGTGCAAATATCCACTGCTTTCATGATCTTCTTCTCTATATTCGGTTTGAATTTGCCCTCTGTGATAATTCTATTCAAGACTGCTTTGGTTTTATGGTGTAATACAGAAGTTCATGGTTATTGTATAATTTCAGGAAAGTTTGGGGCCTTCTTTGCCTCGATTCCTTTGCCAATATTTGCTGCCATATACTGTGTCTTATATGGTATTGTTGGTGAGTGCTCCTGCCATTGTTACAGCTTTAACCTTTTCAATTTCCTTTAGTTGGGAACTTACACATTTTCTCATATTTTTCCCACCAGCTGCTATTGGTGTTTCATTTATTCAATTTACAAACAACAATTCCATGCGGAACATCTACATATTGGGCCTTTCTCTGTTCCTCGGGATATCAATACCTCAATATTTTGTCATGCATACTGATTTGATGACTGGCCATGGACCTGTTAAAACCAATGGCGGATGGGTAAGAAAGAATTGTTATTGGCTTCTTTGTATCATTGAGTTCATGTTTTATGTTTTTGGTGACTTTTGCTTTAGTTTAGGTTGGAGATTGTTGAAAGGAGTTTGATGGTTATACGAAAGACTGATATATACCAGTGCACATAGCATATAAGAAATTTCTCGCAATGACATAGAAAATGCAAATTCCATACATCTTTCTAGATGTTTTGGCTAAGAAAAGGGGTAGTGTCTGTTCTTCAGTTGCATATGCCATACATGAGCTATTGACCTGCATAATACTATGTTAGTTATGTTCGGGTGAGAAACACCCTAATAGGCTAATAGCTTGTAATGGGGTCTTCGTGTCACCTTGGTGTTGCACTACAGCCTTGGTCTGGCACACCTCCAAATGAATGGAAAATGCAAATTAAAATAAATGTTAGGATTATGATATGCATACGAGACATAAGCCCCTTGGTAAGAGACTTCAGCATCAATGGGTTTGTTTAAATCGATCCTTCTTTAAATTATTGCTCAGAATTCCCAACAGTAGTAAAACTAGTATATAGGAATCATTGATATACTTGGATATCAGCGTATAAATGTTTAACAAGAAAACTTATATAGGGGAAGCTTGCTTAGCGGAAGTGCGTGACACCTCAACTATTTTAGTTGTCGATATACAATTTTGTCTGCAATCCTGCTCCAGTTTTTTTTTGGAGGTTTTCTTTTTTTGCTCTTTTGGATTTTTTTATGTGTGGGAGGGTGGGTTGGGTTGGGTTCATGGAATCATGAGCCATCACAACGTTTTTGTCGGACGAAATTGTCAACATGTATGAATCCGACACCGACAGGCAAAAGTTGTATGCAAATATAAAAGGCTTTGTTTTTTTTTCTGTGTTATACAATACTTAATTCTGTAGGTCCTACGATAAAGAAACAAGAAAGTAGCATGAAACTCCATGATCAGCAAACACTAATAATTTCTGGTGAATATATACTTGTCTTGATTGCAGCGTTTATCATGGGCTTATCTTCTCAAACAGAATTTCCTCTTAGATATCAAATTTATGACAGACTAAATGATAACTTGTTGACAATGCTAACATAAATCACCCCCCTCCCCCCTCTCTCTCTCTGGTTTTCTCTTTTACAATAAGGTGTTGCATGATTAACTGAGGTAAAGTCTGTAGATATCACATTTATGACAGATTAAATGATAACTTGTTGACAATGCTAACAGAAATCAACCCCCCTTCCCCTCTCTCTCTCTCTCTCTCTCCTGTTTTCTCTTTTACAATAAGGTGTTGCATGATTAACCGAGGTCAAGTCTGATATCGTATCTGATATGGATAAATAACATACATGGTTATCTTTTGCTTGCAGTTCAATGACATATTGAATACTATATTCTCTTCGCCTCCTAGTGTGGCATTGATAGTTGGTACACTGCTCGACAATACACTGGAAGCGAAGCACACAGGTGCTGACAGAGGCCTCCCATGGTGGGTTCCCTTTCAGAACAGGAAAGGAGATAGCAGAAATGAGGAGTTTTACAGTTTTCCTCATAGGTTTAATGAGTATATTCCCACCAGATTTCTATGGTGGGAATATACTCCTCGTTAAATCTGGTGTATTACTTATTACTCGAAAATTACATGTTATCCAATGTAAGATAGGGGGTCTCTTGATCACTTCTTTCCTAGTTTTAGTCATAAAAGATGCCTATCTTTGAATTGAGAGTATAGTCTTTGAAGCTGATGGGTCTAGGAGATGAAATGTGGACTCTGACTGAGGAATCGTTGTCGTGAACATTTGACAAATGTTATGGGTGTAATCAGCCGAGCTTTATGTCTTGGCTATCACTATCAGGTGAGGAATCCTTGTCAATGTGGAATAATTATAGTGGTGTTAATTTAGCTAAGCTCGAGTCAATTGTTGCTGGCCGGGTTTAGTAGTCGAAATGGTTAATAAATAAATTGGGTATCAGAGAGCGGAGACTTGTTCAAGTAAATTTGATTTGTTTGTTATACAAGATAGAAGTTTATTATTTATAGGATCGATCTTACTTTGCACCTTGAATGATACTTTGATTTTTAATTTATACTTTCAAATATTAAAATTTTTAATTTGTACCCTCAATGTTATGAATTAATAACTATGTACATCTCTTTCAAATTGTCGTTTAGTTTTTGTTCATAAATTGAAGTGAGTTGTAAGTGATTTGAGTATAAACTTTCCTGAAAATTTACTTACTGTTGGTGTCTCATATGAGTTACACATAATATGATTAAATTTTATCTAATTGATGAAATTTTATTTTTGATATACAAAATGGTGTCAAATTTATCGTAAACAAAGATCTGCAAAAATGAACATATCTGATATTCATGTCCGAAGCACATGCACCTCACATACTTTAATTTATGTCAAAAAGATAATCTGGCTGATATCTACATTACTATCAATTTAATTTATAATATTGAAGGTATAAAGTAAAATTTTTAATATTTGAGAATACAAATAAAAAATTGAAATAATTTTTGGATGCAAAATGGGATTAACCCTTATTTATATTAATTAAAAACTTATTATAAGTAAAAATCAGTCCAAAGCAATCGAATTGTTTAACAACCCTAAAATAGTATAAATGAGTAACGTCTCTTCCACTTTTTAACGATTAAAAGTGGGCTGGGGCAGTGTGAGAGTGACAGCTGCCTACCCAGTCCAGCCATCTAAAGTGGTCCACACGCTTTGATAATCCCGTGTTGGTTCTATAATTCATGCCCTCTAGTCCAAATCCATCAGTCTTCGACATCTCAGTGGTCCAACCTAATAATAACATCAACATAAATCCCCTTCACTCGATACCACTGACAAACTTAACATGGAGAGAGACGATGAGCCGTGATGATTATTAGACCAATCGTTATCCTTAATCGCTGATTAAGTGAACAACTTGCAAAGAGCCAAGAATTACTCCAAGACGTGCACTTGACGTTTTGCAACAAACTGAGTTATTATGTGCCTAGAGGGAGTGACACATGGGCAGACATGGTGAATCGTCCATATCTATATCGAACCAATCAACAGCAGAACACCTTGACCAAAGTCCATCGGCAGCGTACTCTATTCAAGTTTTGTTTTTGTAAGTGATGTCCAACAATATGAATTCAAGTTGAACCATTTTTTTTCCTCCTTTTTCGTTATCCATACAGGATCTAAATTTCTTTAAGAGCATTCGTCTAATCAACCCGGAGTCATGTAGACGTGCATGGATGGCCTGTCTTGACCGAACGGGAAGGGATTAGTCAAGTCTCTCTCACCATTGAACTAAAAAGAAAAGAATCTATTAATGAGTTATACTAGTTTCCTCTTACCCAAATTGAATCTAGAAATTCAATTGATGAACTACATATGAACCTTCTCCCCTTTCTCCTTACATTAATTTACAACTAATACCTGCAAAGAAATGTGTGAAATGAAATATTTATACAACCATTACTCAGCCAGCCAGTCCAGATTAAAGCTTTCCTCTGCAACCTGAACATGAAGATTTGGAATAGCTTTCTCCATATCCTTCCACTGCCAAAAGACCCCTTCGTCGCAAATTACACGACGCAAGAATTGCAGTGACACCACAGACTTTGGGAGATTCCTAATCTGTGGACACTCCCTCATGTCAATCTTCTCGAGACTTGTACATCCACCAATCCTATCGGGAAGGCATCTTAAATGTACACATTGAGAAATGTCCAGGTATTTTAACCAGACAAGGTCACCAATCCCAGGGGGTAGTTTTTCCAAATTTGGGCAAGCATATATTCTTAAGATGTGTAGAAATTTCAATTTACCCAAATCGGCTGGCAGTTCATGGAGACTGTCACAGTTGGTGACACTCAGGCTCTTGAGTGTGTTCATCCGGCAAATGCTTGAAGGCAGCTCACTCAAGTGGATGCAGTGATCCATCGTTAGCTCTGAGAGTCGGGGGAAGAGATAGGGCAGGTCTATTGCTGACTGATCGAGGCTATTATCAATCTTGCATAGAACAAGAGATATTTTCCGCAAGTTCTTGAGGGGTATAGTAGTTTCAGGTAATTGAGGTACTGCTATCTTTTCAAACCAGAGGCTTCTCAAGTTGGTCAAATCAGCAAAAACAGATGAGTTGTGGAGGACTGCGGTGGAGTTGCCATAGTTAATTAGAATTAGTGCCCTAAGCTTGGGCATGTCACTAATAAAGGGTGGTAAGAAGTATTCGCTTGAGGAAAAATTCAAGATGAGTACTTCAGCCTTGGGGAATTCCATACTGAACCAGTCCATCTCTCTCATTTCACCTATATTGTGAATTTCAATTAATGTCAACATATACTCTAAAACTTCCATCCTGGCAATAAACAAAGCCCAAACCATTAAAGTATACGATATTACATCATTTTAATTGTAATATCCGTATAGAGTTTTATTATTGTTAGTTTGGAGGGAGGACAAAAAAGACAGATTAACAATTGCTTGGCAAAGCAATCCAGCAATGGTGAGTGAGGGTCATACCTGTATGCACCGAGACAATCTGGGCATTGAATGGCTTATCCATATTCCTCTCCCATGCTTTTGGGAGCTCAGTCTCTCTCCTTGGCATGAGCAATCGCCTTCTCTGGTTTACGTCCTCACAATTGCTCAAATGAATTGCAAGGTCTCTCAACACATCATGCTGAGAGACCGAGATCTCGTAGTAACTGCTATACATATCTCCGACACTGCCAAATCAACAAATTGAAAGATTTCATATGCAATTTTCCTCAATATCTACACATATGCACACACACACACACAATTGATGCTGAAAATTAAGCAGAGAGCATTTCAAGGCTAGAATTCAACATCTATACGCAGAATTTCAGTCCCCTAAGTTGCTGGAAACTAAGCAGAGAGCATATTACAAGGCTAGAATTCAAACATCTATATGCAGAATTTCAGTCCACATACCGTGCATCTTTCACCAGGGTGATGAGATTTTTGTCCGTAAGCTCTTTCAAAATTGCAAAAGCTTCTTCTTCTTTAATGTCATGCAGTTCTACCCACATGTTTATAAGAACATCCAGAGGTATCTTTTTATCCTCTGGAAAGGAACCCAAGTCCAAGAAACACTCCCTAACCTTCTCTGGCAAGTAATCAATACTCAACTTCATCCGTTCGAGCAATTGGATTTCGTGGGACTCACAAATAGGTTGGCCTTGCGAGAGTCTATTCTTTGCGCTTGTCCAAAACATTTCAGGCTGGTCCCTGAGGGAAGCTCCAATCACTTTAAGAGCCAATGGAAGCCCTTTGCACTCATCTGCAACCTAATGAAAGTTTTTCAAGCATTAGAAATAGCTAAGATAGTAGAATTCAACATACAGAGTGAGTGTTTGAGCTTGATGTTCTACCTGTTTGACTAATTTTTCATTAGCACCAAGAGGAATGGATTTTTGTCCAAAAGCAAAGTGGCAGAACAGGGTCATGGCCTCATCTTCCCTCAATAACTCCAACTCATAGGTGCATTTTATGACTGATAAGGGGAACTTGAATCGTGAAACCACGAGCGTTTTGCATCCGGGAACTCTGGAAATAAGCTGTTCCACCACTGAGAGAGACCAAACATCATCAAGAACAACAAGTGTTCGCATAACGGTCTTCAAATCATATTTTAGTGGCCATTGGGGAATCAAACCACTGCAATCATCAATACAATTCCCTGATATCATTCTCCATATCTTTAGCCTTAACTGCTCTACATTTGGAGATTGAGATACAGTAAAGAAAAAAATTCTGTTGCTGAAGTAACCTGCAAAGATAAAGTGAAATAAAACTCAAGTTAAAAAATTACCTAGTATGAATCCTCAGAATTCATCTCCATCAAAGATCATTACACACACAATTTCCTTGTTCCATCATAATACATAAACCCTTACATTAGCAGTTTCGAGTAATTAGAGAAACTTTACAATACATGGTCGCATGTATTCATTTTTTTTCCTACATTTTCTAAGCAACCAAACAGTGTTAATCAAGAAACTGTTACACACACGCACTTGTGAATTGGGAAATACTTAACAGATAATAATTCCATTTTCTCGTCACCCAAACAGAGGGACACACAAAGAAATTGATATGGAAATACTTACTGCGAATTTGATTGTCTCTACAAATCTCCCTGGCCAAAGTAGTCTTTCCACTTCCACTAATCCCACAAATCCCAACAACACCCAAATCGTCCCTCCCAATCACCATCTCCTTCACCTTCCTCTTCGCCATCTCCATCCCTGCCCCCACACCCAAATTTACCAAACCACCCTCGTACCACCTCTCTTCTTCCTCCACCCTCTTCATCGCCTCCTCCAACCACCCTCCCTCATGAACCCCCATCTTCATCGCTCCAAGCCGCTGCTCCAACCTCCGAGCCGAACCCTCAAGCTGATCAAACCTCTCCGCCGAATCGAACCTTAGATGATGCACATCAGCCAACACATGAGCTTGCACAGTAGTTTGCAAGAACCTTGAAATATTCTTTTCGAGCTTCTCCATCTTTCTCGCTAGCTGTAAGTTCTTGTACACGTTCCAGCGGCCGGAATTGAGGACTTTTCCGGCGACCTCAAGTCCATTACGGAGCGTTTCGGAGAGAGTATCGATTTGACGCTGGCGAAACGCCGGAAGTTCCACGCCGGTGTATTTGATTTCGTGGATGATAGGTTGGAGTTCTTCTATAGAAGTGATGAGTTGTTCGGCACTGGACTTGCAGAACATTGATTTCCTTGAGATGCTTACGAGCATCTTGAGGAGCTCGGTGGCGATTTCGCCGGCGAAGAAGTCCGTCACCACCATCTTTGGTGACCTGTTTCGGGGAAGATGGAGAGCTTTCGCAACAAATTGGTTGCAATGTTGAATTTTGGTTTGGTTTATGGGTAAATAAATGGACGTTACGTTATTGTCAAACGGAATTACAGAAATGGCCATGCCAAATCTACATATTACCACTTCTTATGTGAATTATTTCATGTCTTACAAGCTTCCTGTCAAAAAAAAACAGTATATTCATATCCGACTTGTTTATTAATTCACGTCTCATAAGTTATGCAATATCCAATTCATATTGTTTATAAAGAGAAAATATTCGATGCTTATCAGGTATCAGGCTGTTAATAACAGTTGGTACTCATCACCAATCAATGGATGTTACCTCATCAAGGTAGGGAGTGGAGAGAGAAAAATTGAAAGACAACCTACATTGAGGTGATATCTCTTGATTGGTGATGAGTATCAACTGTCAATGATAATTTAGTACTTGTCAATGACAAAATATGAGGTGGTATCCATTGATTGGTGATGAGTACTAGTTATCATTGACAGTTTGGTACCTAATAAGCACCGAATATTTTCTCGTTTATAAATAATGTATAGCCGATATATAAATGAATCGTTTCGTGTAAATATTAGAGATAACTTGTGTTTGAAGGTATGATGTAACATAAATAAGAAGTAATAGATTTTTTTGGGGAGTATGGAGAGAATTCAATATAAATGATTTTGAAAGAGATATTGGTGGACGTTGGATCAATTTGTTTAAGACCGTCAGATAGACTTATTGAAGCCTATTATATTTTATATTATAGATATACTAGTTATTGTTTGTGTCTGAAAACACAGAGTTATAAAAAATGGAAAACAATATACATATTTGTATTTATATCTAAAATTAAATCACAAACATAAAAAAGAGATAAAAGAATTTAAGTATCAATTTGTAATGAGGGTGAGAGGTGGTGGGGCGACAGTGGTGGTGGTAGAAAATAGTGATGATTATGGTGGGTGACAATAATCATGGTGACGGCGATGATAGTGGTGGTGGCAATGACGGTGATTGTGGGGGTGGTGGTGGTGGTGGTGGCGGCGACGACGACGATGGTGGCGGTAGTCATGCGGTTTCAGACACTATTTTTTTTAATTATTTACGAAAAATAATTTTTAAAAATATTATTAAAAAGTCGCTCTAAACACACTCTTAGGGGCTTATTTTTCCTATTAAATTTAGGGTGTTAATATTAACCATTAGATTAATTTTAAAGTAAAATTTAAAGCGATCTTAACCGCGAATAACAAAAGTCACTTGGTTTATTTTTTGGGATTTGAATTATAAACTACTTTATTATATAGATATACTAGTTATTGTCTGTGCCTGAAGGCACAGAGTAATAAAAAATAGTAAACAATAAACATATTTGTATTGATATCCAAAATCAAATCACAAGCATAAGAGAGAAATAAATAAATTTAAGCATCGATTGTGGTGAAGGTGAGAGGTGGTGGGCGGTAGTGGTGGCGGCTATGGCGGTGGAAACGACGACAATAATGTTGGAAGCCGTAGTGGTGGTAATAGCAATGGTGATGGCGGTGGTGGTGATGTTGGCGACGACGGCAGCAACGGTGGTGGTGGTGGTGGTAGAGGTAGTGATGAGATAATTTCAAACACTATTTTTTTAAAAGTATTTTTGAGAAATAATTTTTAGAAATATTTTTAAAAAGTTACTCCAAGCACACCTTTATGTGCCTATTTTTTCTATTAAATTTAGAGTATTAATATTAACCGTTAGATTACCTTTAAAATAATTTTTAAGGCGATCTCAACTACGAATAGTAAAAGTCATTTTTTTTATCTTTTGAAATTTGAATTGTAAACTATTTTATTATATAAATATGCACCATATTTTTGGTTTACTCATTCAGCTTAATAATAGGCAAATCTCTTGTATACATATATACATATATGTCAATAATGCTTGTTGTAACCAATTTGAGAATTTAATATCAAGATTTATTCAATTGTGACAATTCGGTATGATTAATTTATTAATTATTTAGATCTTTAAATTAAATTTGAATATCATTGCACATGGTATATTCTTGTGCTCAAACAAAGATTCCCCATCACTAAGCTGAGTGAAACCGAAAGGCCCAGGATTCGAACTTCGAACATACCCCACAAGGACGACCTCGTTGACGGGAACAATGACTGTCATACCCTCGCTGGCTTAAAGGTGTATATTCCAGTAGTAGTATTGATATTTTTTTTTTTTTTTGGGGGTTAAATAAGGTATTGAAAATTTTTCTGTCCGACAATGTTATTTTGGACCGAATTGAATTGACAGTTGACCGATGAGCTCTATTATTAATTCAATAATTGTAATATATTATATCAACAAATAAGATTAATAAATAATATTTTTTTTCCCGTTTTCCGAGGCTGATATTGTACGGCCCGAATCATTTTCAAATGCCCCGAGGGGCATAGGGACATGTGAGGATACGTTGAAGCTACCCACTAAATTTGAAGAGAATAAGAAGGTATTGAAAAGAACATATGGGCCCAGCTGAAAGATCTATCACAAAATTTTGATATCACAATCTTCATGTATCTAATCATACACGAGTTTTTCATGCAATTGCCAAAACATAAATCTTTGTTAGGCACAAGTAATGACAAAAAATGAGAGTTATCCCCGTTAACTCGATTTGATTGTAGGTTATGAATCAAGTTTTTCTACTTCGATTCTTGTAATAGACCCTTGCAATAGATGTTCGGATAGGTGGTGTATAAAAATTGACAAAGTGTGAATTGGAGGAACTGGTGGAGTTTTATGTGAAGTATAAGAGTTGAGTTGTGTGTGTGTGTGTGAGAGAGAGAGAGAGAGCGAGAAAGAGAAAGAAAAGAAGAAGAAGAATAAAAGGAAATGAGTAGTTTATAAAACTGAAGAGTTAAGTTAGTTCACTATAATAGAAGTTGTTGATCTTTTGATTTTGTATTGCTTGAAGAAAAAAAAAAGAGAATTACAATGAAGCCTCTCAATTGCACATGCCTTGGCGTGATAGTGGCTTGCCTATTGATAAACAAGGGTGGTGTACTCCTCACAGTTATGATGGTGTGATCTTTCAATTTGTTAATAAGAATATTGAGAGAATAGTAGTTTTCTTCTTTATGTGTGACATGACATTCTATAAAAAATGTCTTATCGCTCGAGTTAGGGTTTGGCGGTTGAATTCCTTTTCTGATCCTTTCTCAGTGACTGTCGAGCTGCTTTAACGATTGCTAAACTACTTTGTGTCTTGGGTGAATGACCTAGATCCTTATAGGTTTTGTCGACAAAGCTTCAGTTATATCAACCAGGCTTTGTGCTGCCTTGTTGACCAGTTTGAGGTGTTAACTTGATCTTTTCTTTGGATATCATTAGTATGCAACTAAAATATATGTTGCAGTCATGAGCATACATAATGAGATAATTCTAACAATCGAGTGGGGTGATTCAATAGAGTATCGATCAAACTTCTCACTCTGAAATTAGAAGTTCGAGTCTTGGAGTGTATGTTAGGGTTCTATGGTTGACCGTTATACTATATTAGATAAGTTCGTTCTTGAGAGAAATAACGGGTGCGATCAGTGACCTCATGATCCCATTACTAACAACTTATCGAAATAGTCTCTGTGAGCTTTTTTTGCCCTCTTTCCCCTTTTTACTAACAAAAAAAAAATGAGATAATTCCAACGTGTCAAAAATCATGAGAAAAAAGGGTTTCCAAGGATCTATGACCTCAATGAAAAGGGGCCAAATGCTTCACTACTACGCTATTAGGCACTGTATTGTTCAATCTTGCTATCACATCAACTCTTATCGACCCTTCGAGATTTTGGTTTCTTATTGACATCCAAGTCTTTTTTTATCACACCCAATTCAATCAGATCAATTTCATAATATAGTTAGCAACTTAGCGTAGACTAACTTTTTAATATTTTTTTTGGTTAAACAGTTAGAGGTTTTTAGATCAATTTATGCACATTTTAACTAATTATCTCATTGATCTGGTTAAAATAAGGTCATTCATGCTGAGATTAAGATATTTATAATAGATAAATTCCTTGTAATCCGACCTTAAGGGTTGTCAAGATTTTTATGATGTATGAATTTATAACTCGTTCTTGTTACCACTTGAACTATCTTCGGAATTAATGAAGGGTTGATGTGAGACTTAAACCATTAACCTCAAAAAAAATAAAATTTTTACAATATAAAGAATATCACAAAACCAAAAACACAACCATTACAAAATAATTAAGGGTGTTGTTGTCACTCTAAATCTTGTAATGTCATTATTGGCCAAGATTGCTCCTCTACGTATTCAATTCAATGTGCTCGAAATATCAGCTATCTTCAACTAAATGAACCAAAAAAACAAAACTCAAAAAGCTTAATTCTTAGCCACTAGAGCTATCCATCTTCATCCAAAGGAAGAAAATCATTGAAGCAAAGACCATAAGGAATTGTTGATCGAAGCCACCCATGTTTTTAGGGCACGAGTTGTAAATGTGAACACGAAAGGGCATCCCTAACAACAAAATGTAAGTTATCTATTCAAAAAATAATATTTTTTATTTTAATTACTCATTTTTTTAATACACATTTTAACAGATTTTCTATATTTTTAACTACTTATTTTAAATATTATTTCTCATTTTTTTTATATTATTTTTTTTGAGAATAGTGAATAAGATAAATGTTTACATATTGTTACAATGACACTTTATATTTAAAGTGTCACTATAACAAAAATGTATTTTACATAATACTAATACGAAGAACATCTATTAAAAATGAATTTTGACTTTAATTAATTAAATTTTAGTTATTTTATTCAGCATCTCTTTCAGATGCTCTTGGAAAGACAAGACAAAAATGCCTACCAAAGTGGTTTAGCCAAAGTCTGTGGGTGGGATAGGTGGTTTTGGTGTCCCATCAACCTTGATTTAACTCTCGTTGACCGACTAAATGACCGTCAAACCCTAATCAATTTGTCCTAATTACCCACTAA